CAGGCCATCTGAGAGACCTTTACTCCTCTGTCATCATATCTATAAATATTCAGATATCAGTGGTGTTAGAAAATAAAGGAAAGACTATTACAAAGCTAGACTTTAGGTTAAGTTTATTAAGCATTAGATTTACAGCCTGGGCAACATAGGGAGACCCCATTTCTGCAAAACAGAAAAAATTAGCTGGGCTTGGTGGCATTTGCCTGTGGTCTCAGCTACAAGGAGGCTAAGGTAGGAGGATTGCTTGAGCCTGGGAGGTCAAGGCTGCAGTGAGGTGTGATCTCACCACTGCATTTCCGCCTAGGCAATAGAGCATTAGATTACTTCAAGTTCTTAAGTACATTTTAGGGATATTTGAAAGAGAGTTCTCCATTTCAGGACTCTTGCTTTTTTAAAAAAATTATGCAAACCACCTGGAATTAATGGGCATTGGGAAGAATAGTGAGACCAATTTTTAAAATCATCCAAATCCATATTCTAAGAGTTTTAAATTTGATATTTGAAGTCTTCATTTATTTATTTATTTTTAATTTTTTAACTTTTTTTGGGATGGAGTCTAGCTCTGTCACCCAGACTGGAGTGCAGTGGCACGATCGTAGCTCACTGCAACCTCCACCTCCTGGATTCAAGCAATTCTGCCTCAACCTCCCGAGTAGCTAGGATTAAAGGTGCCTGCCACCATGCCTGGCTTTTTTTTTTTTTTGAGCTGGAGTCTTGCTCTGTCACCCAGGTTGGAGTGCAGTGGCACTATCTTGGCTCACTGCCAGCTCCACCTCCCAGGTTCATGCCATTCTCCTGCCTCAGCCTCCCGAGTAGCTGGGACTACAGGTGCCCGCCACCACGCCTGCCTAATTTTTTGTATTTTTAGTAGAGACGGGGTCTCACCATGTTAGCCAGGATGCTCTCGATCTCCTGACCTTGTGATCTGCCTGCCTCGACCTCCCAAAGTGCTGGGATTACAGGCGTGACCATCACGCCCGGCCAATTTTTGTATTTTTAGTAGAGATGGGGTTTCACTGTGCTGGCCAGACTTGTCTCAAACTGCTGACCTCAGGTGATCTACCTGCCTCGGCCTCCCAAAGTGCTGGGATTACAGGTGTGAGCCACTGCGCCTGGCCCTGAAGTCTTCATATTTTAGTCTTCTGTCTTTTGGGAGGTACTTAACAAAAAAGAAATAGGAAAGGCATGCTTATGGGGAATAAGAGTATGTCTGTGCACTCCTGTGTGCACATGTCATTTGATTAAATTCTAGAGTGAAATTAGGTGTAAAAGCTAATTTACCTGTTTGCAGTAAAGGAGAATAGTAGAGTTGATGTTGAATTTTCTTATAGTTTTGGAGTGACTGCACCTCTGAGAATTGTTAAGTGCTGCTTTCAGAAAAAGAAAAAGGTTACTAAAGTTGACAGTGCTTATAACCCTAGCACTTAGTCCACTGCCTGGCACATGGTCCAATAAATGTTTATCGTATGAGTGACTAATCAGATCAATCCATATAATTCTAGTTAGACACTTGGTAACTTAAAACAGTTGTACCGATGCTGATGTATATTAGTTGCTTTCTATGATAGTACTGCTTTGGGAATATATTTCAGTTCACCTTTAGTGTTTTTTTAATCTTAACTGAATGTGGGTTTTAGAAGGGTCTAGAGAGCCTCATTATATGGGGCTCTGACCTATGAGGCTGCTTGAAAGCATATATCCTTTCTTTTTTTTTCTTTTTTTTTTTTTTGAGACGGAGTCTCGCTCTGTCGCCCAGGCTGGAGTGCAGTGGCCTGATCTCAGCTCACTGCAAGCTCCGCCTCCCAGGTTCAGGCAATCCTCCTGCCTCAGCCTCCCAAGTAGCTGGGATTACAGACATGTGCCACCACATCCAGCTAATTTTTGTATTTTTAGTAGAGACGGGGTTTCACCGTGTTAGCCAGGATGGTCTCGATCTCCTGACCTCGTGATCCGCCCGTCTCGGCCTCCCAAAGTGCTGGGATTACAGGCTTGAGCCACCGCGCCCGGCCGCATATATCCTTTCAACAACATTATCCAGTACAGAGGCTGCAGAGAATTTCAGGTATCCTTTGGGTTGCATTGAAAAGCCTATAGATTCTTCAAAGATGAGAGAAAATTACTCTTTCCCAAAACAGAGGACACTGGACAGTTTTCACTAGTACCGAATACTAAGTTATTTGTAACGTATAAATTGAGTTTAATTTTATTGCTTTAGGTTTCTTTAATAATTATTTTCTTTAAAAATGATTGTGTGGGTCATTGATTATTGACATTCATAGGAGAACTCTAGGGGATGAATACAGTCAAGAGTTACATTGCTAGGAAGATTTAGGGTTGGGAAAGGCATTATGAACACTGTTAGGATTAAAATGAAAGCCCTTAATCTGGAAGGGGAAAACTGCTAAGTTATAGTAGTCACAAGATACAAAATTAGATCATACTATGCTAGCCTGCTACACAGATGATATTAGCTCTTCATTTGCCAGACTAAGCAGCTTGGAGTAGAATATAGAATATCTAACTTAAATTAGAACAGTTGAATTTCTCCTTGAGTCAAAACACCACAAAACGACAACAAAAAACATCTTTTCACTTATATTTTTATACAAGTGTATGTGTTTGTTGTTTAGTAGCAAGTGTGAATTGGATGAAGTATCTGAATATGAGATTTTTATGTGTAGTGAATTCATATTTTTATCCTTTATATTTTCTGACACCCTCCTCCTTTCATGAGTGTCCTTGAGCTGATACCTTGTGCCAGACATCCTGGCATATTTTAGAACTGCTGTGGAAAAGTGATGGTTTAACACACAGCTTCTGTTATGTCATGGTGTAAATTAAGCTCTTAAATGAAAGTGGCTAGCTTTTACAGATGGGCAGGCATGAATCTAGCTGAGAACAAATTGTTCTAATGTGATAGAGACATTCTTCAGACCTGCGTGCGTCTGTCAACTGCCTACAGTGGCACAGTGAGATAAAGTGATCTGCAGTGTTTCTGTAATGTGTCCCTGTTGCTAGCCATCTTGTAACATATAGTACATCTTTTAGGCAGACAGCTTGTGTGGGCTGCATTCCACCTCAGCCTTGTAAAGATGCCAGAAGCATCAAGGTGAATTTTTAAATTCTATTTAACTATTTAGACTTAACTAATTTCAGTGAAATCTCTACTGTATCTAATAAAGTACTTGCTAGAAGTGAGATGAAATTTCAAAATTTTAACTTTTATTGGTTGTTTTGACCTTAGATTGACCAATTAGTAATCTTTCTATGCCTGTTTCCATATTGGGAAAGTGAGTATTTTAAAAGTATTTGCCTCATAAGATTGTTGTGTGGATTTAGCCAGTTAGTATGTGTCAAGTGCATAGAAGAATGCCTGCCTTAATAAATGCTAGCCACCAATGCCGTCATTATTATTAACATAATTTGGGGTGAGATTAATTTCCTTTTCCTGAAGGTGGATTGTGTTTTTTTTTGGAGCAGAGTCTTGCTTTGTCACCCAGACTGGAGTGCTGTGGTGCAATCTTGGCTCACTGCAACCTCCGCCTCAAGGGTTCAAGTGATTCTCCTGCCTCAGCCTCCCGAGTAGCTGAGATTACAGGTGCATGCCACCACGCCTGGCTAATTTTTTTGTATTTTTAGTAGAGATAGATTTCACTATGTTGGCCAGGCTGGTCTTGAACTCCTGACCTGGGGTAATCCACCTACCTTGGCCTCCCAAAGTGCTGGGATTACAGGCGTGAGCCACCATGCCTGGCCTTTTTTTTTTTTTTTTTTTTTTTAAAGGAAGGCCACATCCCTGTCAAGGATGTGGTCAACTTCAATTTTAATACAGAAGCTCACCATTTTGACTTGTGAAATATATCTTCGAATGTATTTACAGTTAAGGTATAATACATAATCACTACAAGGAATAAAGAAACTATATACTGCTATGGAATGGTCTAAGATGTATTACTGAGTGAAAAAAGCAAGGGGCAAAATAATGTGTAAATTGTTTTATCATTTCTGTAAAACTTTGCTGTACATGCATAAAATATCTAGAAGTCTGCACAAGAAATGGCATATTTTCTTTTCTTTTTTTTTTTTTTTTGAGACAGAGTCTCGCTCTGTCGCCCAGGCTGGAGTGCAGTGGCCGGATCTCAGCTCACTGCAAGCTCCGCCTCCCGGGTTTACGCCATTCTCCTGCCTCAGCCTCCCGAGTAGCTGGGACTACAGGCGCCCGCCACCCCCGTAGAGAGGGGGTTTCACCATGTTAGCCAGGAAGGTCTCGATCTCCTGACCTCGTGATCCACCCGTCTCGGCCTCCCAAAGTGCTGGGATTACAGGCTTGAGCCACCGCGCCCAGCCGAAATGGCATATTTTCATTTGTTGTTACTGGGAAGGGGAATTGGGTGGCTGGAGACAAAAGTGGGAGACTTTTTACACTTTTTGATTATTGGACCATGTGAATGTATTCCCAAACTCGGAAGCTACACACACATATATAAATACACACACACGTAAAGTAAAATAGCTATTTTTAAATTGAGATATATTTTTATTCATCCTTTACATTCTTGTTTGTCTCAAATTCACATTTAATAGGACTTTTATTTTTTTTTAAATTAAAAACATTTTTTTTTGAGACAGAGTCTTGCTCTGTCACCCACGCTGGAGTGCAGTGACGTGAACTTGGCTCACTGCAACCTCCACCTCCCGGGTTCAAGCAATTCTCCTGCCTCAGCCTCCCGAGTAGCTGGGATTACAGGCATGTGCCACCACACCTGACTGATACTTGTATTTTTAGTAGAGATGGGGTTTCACCATGTTTGCCAGGTGAATCTTGAACTCCTGACCTCAGGTAATCCGCCTGCCTCAGCCTCCCCAAGTGCCAGGATTACAGGCATGAGCCACTGTACCTGGCCAAGAGGACTTTTAGTATTTCTTTTCAGTTTCTTTTTTTTTTTCTTTAGGTCTACTCTTCAGCACTAAACTAAAAATGACATTTTGTCCTCTTTCAGGGATTTGAGTCATAATCGGTTGTCTAACTGGAACATCAGCTTGGAATCACAGATGTTACAGGAAGTGTAAGTTATTTTTATTTATTTAAAGTTATGTTAAATTCCTGAGGGAACTTAATAAATTGTGATTTGCGGGATGTTCAATCCAGAGATGCCATAAAAAAATTGAAGGAAAAAATTAGTTAAAAGAAATAATTTGAAAACCTAAAATGTTTTGACTTTGTTATTATCAGACTGTCTTGGCATTGGGTTGGTGATTTCAAGTTGCAGGCTGTGGGGAAATATTTTACCTTCCTGGGGCTAAAAGTAAGATTTACACCTCTTCAGAGCAAATTATGTTTTGATTTTGGCCAAGTTTTCAGCCAGTGAAACTCTGTTGTATAACCTTTTTAAATGTCTTGACATGTTATCTAAGATTGGGAGCATCATGTCTAAAGTAGATTTATATGAAATAGAATCATCTTGATATCGTATGAGAATGTAATGGTTGATAGAATTCAGTTTTTCTCTTAACTAAAGTTTTTCCTTTAATACCGAGATGTATTATGTAATTTTGGAGGGAGTTTTCTAAGATATTATTAATATTAGTTTTTGCATCGTTACACTCCTAGAGCATTGTTACATTCCTAGAGGCACAACCATTAAGGTATGTAGGCCTATTTGCCTCTAGACTTAACACCCTTGGAACCCTGAGATTTACTTTCCTTTTTAATTCTTTGCTGACAGGGATACCTTCTTCATGCTCATTGTCTCTGCATTCTCTCCTCCTAGCCCCAAATTCACTACTTCTAATGTGTTGTGGATGAGTACACAGTTGACAAGTTTGTTAGCTGAAAGAGTAGGCACTGAGGAAAGACCTGAAAATGCTTCAGTGGGAAGTGCATGGGCTTTTTGTAACTTTGGTTGGTTTCCTGAAGGTCTTTAGTTCTGGTTTCTTTTCTGTGCTCTTTTGTTGAGATTGTTGAGGTTGTTCAATGACTAAAAACCAGGTTAATGAAATGTGATTGTATTAGATTTGCTACGAAAACATTTGAGACAATCTGTTTAAAGGGCTGCTGGGATCAGATGCAACACGTTATGTTATCTGTAAAATTAGTCATAGATTCCATCTCTGGGTGGGCTGATAAATTTCATCTGTGGTCTCAAGTAACACTTTCTAACATTTGTATAGCTTCAGAATATATATATACACACACACATTTATATGTGTGTGTTTATGTATATTTAGAGAAAGAGAGATCTAGATGGACTGATTATGCCTTCTTTGTTTAAGGACTCAAATTAGCTGTCGTAAACCCAACTTATTCAAAGAACTTTGCTTGAACTAACAATATTTAATGTGGAAAATATTTCGTAGCCTTTCTGATATTAATACCAATAGTAGATCAACACTATGAAAACACATTTCTTGGCCAGGCGTGGTGGCTTACACCGGTAATCCCAGTACTTTGGGAGGCCAAGGTGGGCGGATCACCTGAGGTCAGGAGTTTGAGATCAGCTTGGCCAACATGGTGAAACCTGTCTCTACTAAAAATACAAAATTAGCCAAGCGTGGTGGTGCACGCCTGTAATCCCAGATACTCAGGAGGCTAAGGCAGGAGAATCACTTGAACCCAGGAGGCAGAGGGTGCAGTGAGCCGAGATTGCACCATTGCACTCCAGCCTGGGCAAAAATAATGAAACTCTGTCTCAAAAAAAAAAAAAAGAAAGAAAGAAAATAACTTTAAAATTAAATTTTAATTTAAAAATTAAAATTTCTCATTAAAACCTCTAATTTCTCAATAACTACATTTTTATTTTAGTCTAACTCATTCTGAGTCATAATTATTTTTCAAATTTGGCACCTATTCTAAAGAATATGTGTTAGCCAGATGGTAGAATTCAAGAGGTAATATTTCCCTCACTAAACATTTAAATCTGTTTTTCCTCTTGCCTAGGAAAATGAATTACAATGAACTAACAGAAATCCCGTATTTTGGAGAACCAACGTCTAATATTACTCTGCTTTCATTGTAAGTTAATAAGTTTTCAGGTTTTTTATTTAAATTATGAATAGTATACAGTTTTTTTTTTTTTTTTTTTTTGTTAAGCACATATATTGTTGATTCTAATTATTTAACGTTTTTGTGGCCTGGGGTGGATCCAGTGGCAGCAGCTTCATTATAATCTTTGTTTTACAGAGTCCATAATATAATCCCAGAAATAAATGCACAGGCGCTCCAGTTTTACCCTGCTCTGCAGAGTTTAGACCTCAGCTCAAATATAATATCAGAAATCAAGACATCTTCATTTCCTCACATGCAGCTTAAATACCTGTAAGTAACACAGATTAAATTAGATTTACTTTAAAGCACATGTTTATTATTCATCAGTACCTATCTTTTCAAAAGTATTTATTTATTGTGCTTTTTATATGCATATGTAAGACAAACCTAGGGTTGGTATATTGGGTGGTTGGCTTTGCCCACCCACCCGACAAGCCCCCTAAAGAAAGATCGCACTATTGTCAGAAAATACTGGTAAATATCAAGGGTAATTTTGAGATTCAATTTTTTTTGTTTTTTAAACCAAGCTTTCTAAAAGGTAAATAGAGATTTGTTAAACAATGGCTTACCGTATATAATGATAATTAGCATGTGTGCCAGTGTTTTCCAGTTTACAGAGCATATTCACACATGCTGTTTTGTAACAACCTAAATGAAGTAGGTAGCCTCCATAGATGAAGAAACAGAGCATTTAAATGATTTATAAAGTTGTGGATAGTCATTAAGTGATAGCTGGGGGCTTATACATAGATATTTGGCAGCTTTCTAGTGGTAGAATTTTTATTTTACTAAATGTTTTCTTTTGCTATTATCTTGTTTATTTTAGGAATTTAAGTAATAACAGGATAACCACCTTGGAGGCTGGCTGCTTCGATAATTTATCGAGTTCCTTATTAGTGGTAAAGTTAAACCGTAACCGAATTAGCATGATTCCACCTAAGATCTTCAAGCTGCCTCACCTCCAATTCTTGTGAGTAACGAAATAGTTGGATTATAAAAGATAGTTTTTTTGTTACAGGGTCTTTTTCTTTTTAATTTAATTACCGTTAGAGCATTTCAGCAAACCAATTTCCTGACTCTAAAACTATTTTTGTTAAAGGGAACTTAAAAGAAACAGAATTAAAATTGTGGAAGGTCTTACATTCCAAGGGCTTGACTCCTTAAGATCTTTGAAAATGCAGCGGAATGGAATTAGCAAACTTAAGGATGGAGCATTTTTTGGCTTAAATAACATGGAAGAACTGTAAGTACTCAGGACTAGAGGTGATTATTAGGAAAGTAGTCTGTCTGGGACTTTTCAATGTCAAATGGCTAGGATAGTTGTTCTGATTATAATTATAGAGATATGTTCATTCTTTCCCTGCTCACTGATGTGAAATAAGTGTACATAAAACCTTTAAAGTTTTGTTAGCTAACTGATCATTTTTGAAATAATTCTTACAAACTTCTCATCTAAAAAGTTTATATTCTTTTTTTTTTCTTTTTGAGACGGAGTCTCACTCTGTTGCCCAGGCTGGAGTGCAATGGCGTGATCTCGGCTCCTGCAACCTCCGCCTCCCAGGTTCAAGCAACTCTCCTGCCTCAGCCTCCTGAGTAGCTGGGATTACAGGCGCGTGCCACCAGCCCTGGCTAATTTTTGTATTTTTAGTAGAGACGGGGTTTCTCCATGTTGGTCAGGCTGGTCTCAAATTCCTGACCTCGTCATCTACCCACCTCAGCCTCCCAAAGTGCTGGGATTACAGGCGCAAGCCACTGCACCAGGGCAAAAAGTTTATATTCTTAATGTTTTAGTTAATGAAAATTATCAGAATTTATCCAAATGGGTATACTATACCACTTGGCCTGTTGGTTTTGTAGAGCTGCTCTTTTAGACAGTCTTAGTATCTTCTAGCACTAAATCTTTTTTTTTTTTGAGATGGAGTCTTGCTCTGTTGCCAGGCTGGAGTACAAGGGGTGCGATCTTGGCTCACTGCAACCTCTGCCTCATGGGTTCAAGCCTTTCTCCTGCCTCAGCTTCCTAACTGGGACTACAGGCGTGTGCTGGCACGCCCAGTTAATTTTTGTATTTTTAGTAGAAACAGGGTTTTACCATGTTGGTCAGGATGGTCTCAATCTTTTGACCTTGTAATCTGCCCACCTCGGCCTCCCAAAGTGCTGGGATTATAGGCGTGAGCCACTGCGCCCAGCCAAGCACTAAATCTTAAATAAAATATACATTTTTATTGAATAGAATTGGTCAGCTCAGTTGGCTTGAACAAAGATATATGCTTCTCTGGGAAAAACTTAAGATTTAAAGCTAGTTAATTGAACTGCCTTGTTTTGGAACGTATTTTCTTCTTTCTCTAATTCTGCAGAGAACTGGAACACAATAACCTTACACGAGTGAACAAGGGGTGGTTATATGGCTTGCGAATGTTACAGCAGCTCTATGTGAGCCAGAATGCTATTGAAAGAATCAGCCCTGATGCATGGGAGTTCTGCCAAAGACTATCCGAACTGTAAGTGTTGGATAGCATTTCACTGGAGGCTGTGAGACTAGAGCAGATTGAAATAAATCATTCCCATGGACAGTAATGAGATATAACATCCCTCTTTACTAGAAATTTGTAGAAAGCTCTAAATTTACCATGTAGATGTAATAAGAATTGTAAGTTGAACCAAATACAATGAATTCCTTACCTTCCACATTTCTTGTTTTCAGTGATTTGTCGTATAACCAGCTGACCCGCCTGGATGAATCTGCCTTTGTGGGTCTGAGCTTATTGGAGAGATTGAATTTGGGAGACAACAGAGTCACTCATATTGCTGATGGTGTATTTAGATTTCTTTCCAATCTTCAGACATTGTAAGTATATCCATTCTCTTTTTTGGTTGTTGTTACTGATTTTTTTAGTACAATAAAGCAAATTAATTAAAACAGCTAATCAGTCTGCAAATTATGTATGCTAATATTTTGTGGTTCTTCTGTCCTGTGCCTCAGAGCAAGATAGTTTTATTTGTCTCCATCTCCATAAAAATCTCAAGCCTGTAGTAGGCAATTCAGTTTGTAGTTTAATTCTGAGTTAATCCCATAAACAGCAAAGCATGTCTTATTGTGTTAGTTGCTATGGAATAAAACACAGTTGCTAGTGTCAGGAATGCAGTCATTTTCTTGTTCCTTTGAACTTGACCATACACCAGAGCTACTAGTTCTCATTCAAAAGGATGCAGGACGTGTAGAGGGAACTGCCATGGTAGGAGATCAGTTCACTGTTACTGGTTTGCTACATGACTTTGGATGGAAGAAACTAATACTTATTATCTGATGTGTGCCAGGTGCTTTCAAATACTAGGATGATACTGCTGTTTTCCATATTAGGAGGCTGAGGTTCAGAGAAATTTAAATAATTTTCTCAAAGTCACATAGCTTGTAAATATTGGGCCAGAATCAGATCCCAGGTCTGTTTGATGCTAAAGCTCATGCCCATTTTATCATACCACCAGAAGAACAAAATCACTTAGCTTTTCCTGGGCATCATTTTTTCTTCTCTTTTATACGGCGAAGGAAGGATATAGGATTAGATGGTTGCTAAAGGCAGTTTCCATGCTAAAATTCTGTGGTACTGTAAGTTACTCAATTTACAGAATATAAGAATATGTTTTTATGAACTTTTTGTATTTATATATAAATATATCTAATTTTAGAATATAATTTTACTAAATAAAGAGGTATTTTAATGAAATATAGTAGTCTCAAACACAGAGCAGAATAAAAGAAAACAAAGAGTAAATAGTAGAGTCTTAAGTTTCCTGAATAGGGGACTTTATGGTTGTTAGGTTTTGAGTTGAAATGGTTCAGAGAAGAGGCAGGTTCCCAACTTGGAGACCTAACCATCAATGAGAGGGAAAGCAAGATAATTTTGTGAAGGGTATATACATGCACAGGTGTGTATTTGATTTTTTTTTAACTTTCTTTAGATTTGGCCTTGAAAAATTAAAAGTGATTGTATTTTTCCTTTTCCTATATTATCAGAAGTGAAATTGGATCAATGCAATCTCAGAAACTTAGATGTAACTGCAGCCTTTTGGCAGTTGAAGGGGTCGCAAATAGGTTATTTTAGTATACCACTGATTATTACTTTTAGAATTAAAGTTTAAGGAAGTAATAGCAGAAGTAAATGGTTATGTAATACCACAGAGATAGTTAAGACAGAATTAGTATCAAATCTGGGGAATTCTGGCTTTAGCCTCGTGCTCTTGCCAGGGTAGATACAGTTCTTAATTTGTTGAATGGTTTCTATTTATGCTGTGCTGTGGAGGAGGGGGAAAGTCCTGAAGAGCTGAGCCATTGGTTCTTTCATTATTTATTCCTTAGTAAAATAAAATGAGCTTTATTAGCTTTTCACTTAAAGAAAGCTAAGTGAAAAGAGGGATCTCCTCTTTACTGCTAATCACACAACTCTGCATGTCCCTTATAAAGTAGAAAGCTTTGTGCTTTATTATGAGATGACTTAAAGAAGCAAAAGTGATTAAATATTTTTAATTCTATGGAAATAATTATTTTATCATAACATGATGTGGTACAATTGCATTTCCTCTGAGAATGGAACAGTGAATTTTAGAAGATCCATAGTTTCCCTTTGAAAGAAAATCTGATGACACTGTAACACATGGGTATATCATTTTTGCTTCCCATGGGGCATCTTTAATTGCTCTTGAGCAGTGAAGCTCTGTATTGATATTACTCTTTGTCAGCCATTGTAAGTTTAAGGTCCCAGGGGAAGGCTTGGGTCACCCAGAAATTCCATTAGTCTGAAATCAGATTTATAAGCCATATACTCTGCATCTTGAAACCCTCCTCTTTTCAGGACCCTGTGTATACTTTTTAATATGCTAACATAATGAGGGACTCTTAGCTCGGAAGAGTAATACTTTTAGCAGGTTGCTTTATTTGTCAAGGCCAGCTTAATTCTTAGCTTGTAAGAATCAGTTCTTACATGTTTATTACAGATATTTCTTTTTTTTTTTTTTTTTTTTTGAGACGGAGTCTCGCTCTGCCGCCCAGGCTGGAGTGCAATGGCTGGATCTCAGCTCACTGCAAGCTCCGCCTCC